GTATAAAATTATTTTTAAAGAATATCATTTCTGTCATTTTAGATTTTCGCACACACACAACAACAGATTTTTTTTGGCAAATAAAAAATGCAGAAAACAGCTTGGCGCGAAAAATTCTAGCAGAATTTCTTTTCGCAGTCGGCAGAATTGACATCAACTGCACTTCCCATTTGAAATACACATGTTCGATACCCTAGCCCTTTACGGTATGACATACCAGCAATGTAAAAAGGTGTAGCTCCGTTGACGTCAACGAAGCTGGTTTGAAGTCAAAGCAGCGACTCGAATTAGGCGCGAAAACACGAAAATATATGAGGCGAAGCATATACATCGAACGTTGAGCAAAGTTCTACACCGGCCAAATTTCAATGAGCGGCTTATTATTAGATAAAAGAAAACTTGCTTAAATGAAAACAAATTAATTTTATATTGTAAAATTCCACAAATTTAGCGAAAGTAATTCTGTATTTGTGAATTTACAATATAAATTAATTTGTTTTCATTTAAGCAAGTTTTCTTTTATCTAATAATAAGCCGCTCATTGAAATTTGGCCGGTGTAGAACTTTGCTCAACGTTCGATGTATATGCTTCGCCTCAGATATTTTCGTGTTTTCGCGCCTAATTCGAGTCGCTGCTTTGACTTCAAACCAGCTTCGTTGACGTCAACGGAGCTACACCTTTTTACATTGCTGGTATGTCATACCGTAAAGGGCTAGGGTATCGAACATGTGTATTTCAAATGGGAAGTGCAGTTGATGTCAATTCTGCCGACTGCGAAAGAAATTCTGCTAGAATTTTTCGCGCCAAGCTGTTTCTGCATTTTTTATTTGCCAAAAAAATCTGTTGTTGTGTGTGTGCGAAAATCTAAAATGACAGAAATGATATTCTTTAAAAATAATTTTATACTAAAAATTAAAATTAATAAGATTGTATGCTATACTACTATACGAGGTCATTGTACAAAGAAACAGCAAGTGTTGGGTTGAATTTATTTAAATTGTTAATAATTATGATGAAATTTTTTAGGCGGGGTTTGTTTTCGTTTAATACCCAAAAGTGTTTATCGAATCTATATTTGGCATATTTGTGAGATCTAGAAGATTAAAAAATGTAAGTAATGGTGTTAATTAATTATTTATTTGTCTATAAAGAACGTCTTTTTTTCAAGAAAGAGGAGGCATCATGATGGTCTCCTGGAAGAATGCCCACATATATACCTCCCTAGTCACCTAGGCGGGTGGTGGTCGGTCGGCTAGTGGTGACATGGTATATTATCACCTAGAGGCAATGGACGGAAGCTGATTGCCGTATTCAGGGGGTATCCTTGGATACATACTTATTATTATACCATTGATCTCAGCAGAATCACTACCATACACCCATAATAGAGCGCGATGTCTGTCTGGTGTGCCTTTCAGTGAAGCTCTTGTTGTCTCCAAACACTATGGTGGCCGAATATTTACAAGAAACAATTGTTAAGCCGCCTTTTATACAAATTTATAGCTTTGTAGAGAATGTCTTCACGGACCTAGAGGATATAACCTGGCTAGGTATGTAGATGTTGTTTGGGCAAAATATTGGTACTAACCATTGTGGGCTTTATGTCGACTTTAGGTCCCTTATAGTTGTCACACTATACCAAATAAGCATTCTTGCTGGAATTAAAGTTTAAAACAAGTTTAATTCCAGTCAAACATTCAAATTTCAAGTGTTGAAATACACTTTAATTCAATAGCATTCTCCAGTGAAAACGAAACTTGAATTCAAGTCGAACATTACAATGTTTTTACAGTATAATTCAATGCACGAAATCTATATACATAATACATATATAAAATTCTAACGTTACTGACTGACTGACTGATTCATCATCGTAGAGCCTAAACGGTTTTAGCTAAAGAGCTGAAATTTAGACAAGAGGTTGGTCTCCCACCAAATAGATCCACTTAGACGGGATTTTTGGAAATTCGAATGATTAGGGGGTTAAAAATGGTAAAAACGGGTAAATTCGGTAACCTCATATCTCCTAAACTATAAAAGAACAGTTTAAAGCTTATCGTCGTTCATTTAAAAAATAAGCGGGCAGGTGTCTGGTACTTTTTTCAAATTCGGCCCCTTTGGGGAATTAACGGGTAGAAACTGTAATTTGGTACTTCTTTTGCACCCCATGTATCTTTTAAACCAGAGAACATTCAAAAATATTTTTGAATCCTTCATAACTTGACGAACAAATAAAAATATAATTTAGTACTTTTTGGATATTCGGACGTTTAAGGGGTGAAAATTGTACCTATTTTTGGTACTTTTTTATAAAACATTGTTTTTGGTTTATTAACTTATACATATGAATACATAATAACGGGCTCCCAATACGATGTTGCAACTGGTACTTTTTTGACTTAGAACTTAGAAACATGTAATTAAGCACTTGAGAATCTATAAAAGTGGACTTTTTGGTACTTTTTCGTTCTTCAAAAGGTACTTTTTGAGTTTTCTATTTTTCGTTCTTCGACTGGTACTTTTTGAATTTTATATGAACCTAGAAACATGAATTTAGGAATGTACAGCCCGGATTAAGTAATAACATATAAAAGGGAACTTTTTGGTACTTTTTCGTTCTTCAAAAGGTATTTTTTGAATTTTCTATAATATTGAACATGGAGTAAGTGAGAACATATAAAACGGGACTTTTTGGTACTTTTTCGTTCTTCAACTTGTACTATTTGGATTTTCTTTTATAATGAACCTAAAAACATAAAACTAAGCAATCAGGGACTTGAGTGAATGAAAATTTAAACTGGAGTATTTCTGGTAATTTTTCGTTCTTTAACTGGTACTTTTTGAATTTTCTAAAATATTGAATATATAAACATAAAATTAAACACGCAGTATCCTAATTGAACGAAAATTTATCTCGCTTACGTCCATTTTGCAAAAAGGGCTCGATATCAATCGAAATCTCTATAGGCCATAGTTGACCCTGCCCCCTTCAATAATTGATTTTAACGTTTTCTACGTACTTAATAATACCATAATAAAACAATTTTTGTTGGAACGAAAATATGTAATGAAATCTTCTTCAGAAAATGACTTAAACGCACATAAATGGCTTTCAAATGTCGATGTCGACGAAATAAACATTTTTAGGAACCGAAACCCACATTTATGAAAAATAAAATTATGAGGATCGGTCCGCCAATATAACCCTCTTACAGAAAATCAGTTTATAGCTAATACATCATTCCAAAAGTTATCATTATGATAGAATTATGGTAGAATTAAAAAAAATACTTTAAATTATATATATTATTGATCCAATTCCACATTTAAGTCCCTAATCCGAAAATCACGGTGACGTTCTTATTAATCTAATGATCGGACCACTTCCGAAATTTGCTTTTTTACGACATATGATTTGCCTTACTTATTTTAATCATAAAATACCACTAAAATAGGAATAGTCTTCCTTTAGAGTTGCGAGTTTTCATACATTCTAATAATGTTTTCAAAGTGAAACTTTTGGAATATTTTTCAATCTCTTTGTGATCCCTTTAAATGATGTTGTTCTGGAAGAACTTTAACATCCATGTAAACATTTTGGGTAATAAACTGGGGGACTACCAATGAGGGAGCGGAACCTCCCATATGAATTAAATACAAAAATTCGTTTATCTGGGAAACTAATATAACTAAATTCTTCAAATTTTGCACGAACAACTTTAATATTCATCTGAACATTTTGGAGAAAAAAGGGCGGACTTTCATCTGGGGGGCTTGGAGCTCCCATATGAATTAAATAGAAAAATTCGTATATCTGAGAAACTATTAGAGCTAGAATCTTCAAATTTTACTGAAGAACATTTAGAGAATAACGGGCGGACTTTCAATGGGGGCTTGGCACTTCCCATATGAATTAAATACAAAATTTTGTATATCTGGAAACTATTAGATTATTCAAATTTTTCATAGATTAAATTAAAATCTTAATTAACGTTCGGAATAATTGGCGAAATTGCAATAATTTGCGTGGAATCTCCCATATGTAACAAATTGTATATCTGGAAAACCATTGTAGTTAGAATCATCAAAATTGTTAAGTAGGTTTCTTATTTATATTGCTTTTAGGGTAGCACAGCACACTGGGTATAGCTAGTAAATAAACAAATAAAATATCTTTGTTTTTACCAAAGTAAATTAATAAAGTAGCGACACGAGTTGTTGTACAACAAACGTCTACAAAAACCACAGGCAATTTGTTTTTGTTCGAAATAATCACTTGTCAAAATTTGTTTACAAAAATGAACCAATAATTAATGGAAAATATGGCATTATTGTTGTACTTTCCAAAAATATGTTGTTATTTATATTAAAAGTCAAAGAGTTTTCTTTATTTTTTCAAAATTAGAACATTTTTAAAAATATTATACACTTAAAATACACTTTTTCATATTAAATACAACAATTACTCAGAAATTTGTACAAAAGCAAGCGTTAAAATGAAAACAAATATGGAACATAAACATTTTTGACAAGTAAGTCCACAAATAGCAAGTTTAAAAAAATAGTCAGCTGTTCAAATGAGTCTACTTTATAAATTTACTTTGGTTTTTACGTTATTGATCATTTTCTTAATGCAAATTTTTTAGAAACTGATTTTCTGCAAGATGTTTTATATGGAAGATAGGGTTAATATCGGCAGATCCTAGTAAAATTGGAGAAAGGATTTGTTTTTAATTTTTAAGAATTTTTTATTCATCCCTGCATAATTTCTCATGCACTTTTGAGTTTGCTCTGTTTGTTGTTATATATTTGCTCCAAAATCCTACTTTCTGATCTCTCGGATTCCGTTTTTATTTAAAATCGTTGAAAATTAAAAACTAAACGTAGTTGAAAACTTAGCCGGCTTACTGTCGATTTTAAGCCGCCGCCGACATATTCAGTGTCAGTCGCCGCCGTCGTTAATATTGTCGGCGCAGGGCTCTGTGCGGCAGTGAAAGTTTTGCTTGCGTGAATATTTTAATATAAATTAATTTAATTCATTTCTTTCAATTGAATAATTAAAATAAAATTTATAAATTAGTTATTAAAGTTATTAGGAAAAGCAACAAATATGGCAGAGACTGAAGATGTCAGTGAACTGCTATTCTTTGATACATTTTCTCATGAATCAGACGCGGTAAATATTGTCGGCAGATTTCCATGTTGCTGGTGTCTTAAAAGTGAAAATGTTTTTATTTTATTATAGGACATAAATTTGGATCTGGTACAATTTCCTAAACCGGTGTTTATCACACAAGTTCGCATTATACCCTTGGGCGCTCGCGTACAAGCAGACTTTCCCGGTGGTGTTCGTTTGGGTGCAACAAATCCCTCTAAGTTTGACATAGAGTTCTTTGTTAATGATTTGGGCATGCCGGGTGCTTCAGCATTTGAGAATTTGGGTCAGTTGCAATATAATCAAAATGATTGTATACACTTGGAGTGTACACAGGATAAAAACCCACTGACGGTTTGGTTTTAAGAGGCTGGTATAGTACCATTACCCTGGCTGTATATGGTATATTGACTAATTCCTAACGGAAAATATAGCCAGTCCACCACCGGCTCCTTGCGAACCGAAGAAATGGATGATTTA